AGCTATTATACAAATTATATGCATAAATTGTTGCATTATGTAAGGTTAAGTATTTGTACATGGTAGAGACCGTCATGAGGCCCCAATGTTTTAAGGTCGATTTTTGACCAAGCACTTTCCATCAATGGTGTCGGGTTTGAGTAATTAATACCATTTTTTCGATGGTAAATTGATTTCTAAATAAACTCATATAGATTTCGTGAGAGTGGGATTTTGGCCAAGTTCTATGAGTTCAAGGTCAAATGATCATTTTTTTTCCCTTATCTTGATAATACAATCTCGTTACACTTTTACTAGCTAGAGTTTTTTTTAGACGCATTAGGTTCAAAGAAAGTATTGGTTTCTTCTATCATTGGGTGCCTATTACTCTCAATTTTGTTGAAACAAGTTTTTGATTCTTGCATTATTTCTTGTTTTCACTTTCTCTGCATCATAAGTCCTATAAACATGTCAACCATCTCATCTGAAAATGTGAATTTTCCATAGAGGTGCCTCATGAATGCATTGGAATTTTGTCTTTTGCCCCTCACATGTTGACTGAACTCCTTTTTTGATAAAAAAAAGTGTACAATTTTTATAAATAGGAGGTGACACGTCTTGAATTCAATTCTTTTCGTCCGTTTTCAATACTAAATATGTTAACCATCACATCTAAAAGTTTGGACTGCAACACTCCCGTTAACATAAAATTGATCCAATTCTAATGTTTTGTCTTGCATCACTGATATTCAGGATTGAGAAGGTTAGACTTGATCGAAAAGATGGTATCTCAAAAGTAGTTGGGACACTCTTCTGCGTCGCTGGAGCTTCTGTAATTACACTGTACAAAGGTAAAGCTTAAGCTAATTGAGAGGAGTCACATGTATTCATGTAAATCTTGTCTTCAACAAGCTACAAACCATATTCCTTTTTCGAGACAATTTTCATAATGGGTGGCAGCGAGACTTATCATGTCTTCTGCCTTGTCTTCCAATACCATGTTATTAACCATCTCATGTGAAAGCTTATTACGATAGAGAGGTGCCTCGTGTATTTATTCAAATCCCGTCTTCAACAGGTCCAACTGTTTATAGTCCTTCTCTATCACCAGTGCAAAGAACTGCACCAATATTGTTGCTTAACTTAGGAAATGCTGATGGCAAGAACTGGACACTGGGGTGCATTTTCTTGGTTGGTCATTGCTTGTCGTGGTCTGCATGGCTTGTCTTGCAGGCTCCAATACTCAAGAAATACCCTGCAAGGCTCTCATTTACTTCTTACCAGTGTTTCTTTGGAGTTATACAGTTTCTTGTTATTGCTGGTTTTATGGAGAGAGACATCCAGGCTTGGCTTGTTCACTCTGGTGCAGAGCTCTTCAGTGTTTTCTATGCAGTAAGTTAACATTTTCAGTTCCATTTTCTAGTATTGATCGGATAGCACTTAACGGTATTAAAGAAAAATAAACACTTAATCTTGCACCTTTCCTATCAATCTAGACATGCACTTCTAGTATATAGGAACGACATTATTAAATTAAAAAAAAAAAGTTGAATTTTGTTAATTAAGGAGGTTTCGATAGAACTAGTAAATTATTAAAGAAAATACATTTATTCGTTGTATCTGTGAATCATAAAGGGCATTGCTCGTGCATTGGGCAAAATGAGATTAGATGGTTTAATCAAGAGAGACTTAAAACTAACGAGTTGTCGCATCCCGTCTAATCTTTTTAACAATATTAAAAAGGATAAAGAAGAGAGGCGTTAGAAAACTTGTCGATTATGTCTAGTCTGGTAGAACAAAATTACAGTGGAAAGAAAGAGATGAGGAAAACTTGTACAGTATCAAGTTCAATCGAGTTGAGTTGAGCTGAGCTAATAAAACTTGCCATTAAAGCAGTTCAAAACAAAGTGGGGCTAGAATTCAGTCAGATCATGTGATATCAGATGATTGGTCTATGTTTCCTTCCATATCGCGTTCTCCAAATCGTAACATGACAGCCAAGCTATTGACACATATTGTCGAAAAACTCAAGTGGTTATAAGAAGATTATTTATTCAAATCTAGTCTTCAACACGCTTGACCACATTCATTTTATCCAAAAATTGATACTTCGACAAGTTTCATGATAAGTAGAGACAAGAGTTGAACTGTCAACCTTTGTCGTTGTCGCCTATGATACCCCATGGAATAACCTTGTTTAAAAGAACTTTCGAGGAAGAAATATTTATTTATTTAAATTAATTTTCAATATATTTGTGCAGGGAGTGGTGGCATCAGGGATTGCATTTGCTGTACAGATATGGTGCATTGAAAGGGGTGGCCCCGTATTCGTGGCGGTCTATCAGCCAGTTCAGACGCTAGTAGTCGCCATTATGGCCTCTGCTGCGCTGGGAGAGGAATTCTACTTGGGAGGGTATGATATACTCATATTAATGTAAATTAAGTAATTTTCTTACTCACAAAAACATACATGAGGGCAAGGCCTAGCTTAAGTGGTAAAATCAAAGCCTTGCGAGACACGTGACTTGGATTCGAGCCTCCTTTTGAGAGGAGGGTGAAATCCATTGATCACCTTTAACAAAAAGGAAAAAAACATACATGTCTAAACCCAAAAATAAAAACTTTTAAGATTAATCTCTCTCTTCTTTGTCAAACATCTGCTTTCCTTGTCTTTGCATTTTCTGGTCCAATCCTTGTCAAACATTTTTTTTTTTTGAATTACTCTCTTCAATCCTTCTAGATAAAGTAGGTCTGGCTAGATTTTGATGAGTAGATGTTCGACACAATTATTATCCATACTCAATTATGTTCGTTTGTCACCTCAAATGTCTTATCTCACACTTCTATGTCCTTCGTGCCATGCCTATCGAGAAAAAGGAAATTTTGTCATTTTCAACCTAGGAACAAACAAGAACGCTTTCGAAGAAACAAGAGTTCTCTTTAGAAAATTTTAAACTCGAAATTTAGTTTTCATTTTTTGTCACTACTTTGATCCTTTTTAGTGGTCAGTTCCAACTATTCACATGTGCTTGCGATGCACAGGATAATTGGAGCAGTGTTGATCATAGTAGGGTTATACCTTGTCTTGTGGGGCAAAAATGAAGAAAGGAAATTCTCAATGCAAAAGGATGCGATTCAGTCCAACGCGGACCACGGGACCAACCGAACAATAACCAATTATAACAAGTCCTCACTCGCTCAGCCACTCATATCTCAGTCAACGGAAAATATTTGAGACACAAAGTATCCAATATTTTAACTTACTGTCTTCGCTGGAAAAAAAATGCAGTTAATTTATGCTTATGTAAAATGGCTTGAAGTGTTTATGGAATTTTTCTTGAGGGGTGGGGTGGGGTGGGGGTCCAATCATGCAAATCCCCTCATTTGGTTTTTTACAAATTTTAATGGTTTGCTTATTGTATGAGAAATTATATGCACAATATGAATGAGACAATTTACAATTTTTATCACAAGACTCTTCTTACTTATGTTTAGTATTTTTGGTGTAGCTTACTAAAAATGTCTTAATATATGTGATCCAAAGTATACAAGGTACATTGAGTTGCATAATCCTTGGGATTTCCTTTAATCATGAAGTAAACATGTCATATATATACTAAGACAATAAATTGTGAGATTTTAAATTACAAATTAATTTTTTTGTTAAAAATAATATTCAACAAAATAAAATTTGTGGGTAAAAAGTTTTTGATATTTATTTAAAATTTATCGTAAGAAGAGTTTAAATGACGATTGATTTTATTTTTAATAGTGATAATTAAGCTATTTAACATTTTTCATAGTTGAAAATCTTAAATTAATTGACGACAACTTGTAAAATTCCGATTTGATTGTAAACACCATTGATTTGGTGGAAAAAGAACGAAAGAGCTGTTAGTTGTGTTGGAAAAATTGAAGAAAGAAGGAGACTTTATTTTGAAATTTAAATTTGAATGTGTTGTTTTTATTTTGTAATTGAGAGGATATTAATATATTTTTATTCTACCTTATTTTAATTATATATTAAGTTTAAGTAGGGTATATCTGTCTTTTTATGTCAAATAGGCCATTTTTACTTGTGGTTAGTAAGCTATGTTTGTTCGCAAATGGAGGCCTTCAACTAGGCCAATGTGAAACATCCCCCCGCTTTGCTACGAGTAACAAGTGTAGATTGGTCTGATCGAATCCCTTTTAAACCTTAACGATCGCAAGACCTTTGTATTTTAAAAGAACCTCTTTCTCATCCACCAACCTTTGGCTCTCCATCAATGCATCCGACTTCTCTTGCAATTCACCAATGATTTGCTCAATTTTCTAATTCTGGTCGTCAATCTTTTGGAATGCAGCATAATGAATGTAGATTGTCTAGAAGGGAGCAAAAAGCGTTAAAAAAAATACGGAAACCAAAAGGCAAGTAGATATAAGCTGACAATTTTCTTCCAGCTTCTCTCCTCGATCAATTTGCAAAGGCATTAGAGGTCGGAGTGCTTCCATCCATCGAGCTTGAGTTTGGTTGGTTGGGTTATGGCTTGGGGATTATCCTACACAACAAAGAAATTCACTTAATTTAAGTAACGAAATTAAATTCATCAAAAATACAAGTATTCCCCAATTAGAAGATAAACGTTCCCTACTTTTGAGCTCCTTATAATTATGAAATTTACTACTATAATCCAGTAATTAAATTGACAAACAAACTTCTCAAAAAAAAAAAAAACCCAAATACCAATTTTCCTAAACAAGAAGAATATTTCCTAAGTGGAGAAAGGTTCCTTGCATAAAAAGGCAGCCAATGGCCTAACGAAGAAAAAAAAATTGTAGCCCCTCTAAATGGTGATTCAACATAGATTACAAACGTATTTAAGTAATCGTCGTTCTGTAAGATCATAGTGAAAACCTAATTTTTGTTTTTCATCTAAACGAATACGATATTGAGATTGGATCTTATTATTATTATTATTATTATTATTATTTAATAATAATAATAAAACTTTCTTTAGTTAGATTCATTTAATACTCGCTTAGTAGGCACCTGCTCGTCGAGGATATTGTAGAGGTTTTAGAAGAAGACTTGCATTTGATGGGGGACCATCGTACCAAATGAAACGATCTATCTGATCAAAAGCCAAGTTGGCCATATGATCAGCAAAAGCATTAGCTTCCCCGTAAACATGAAGAATTTGAACTTTCCAATTTTGATGAAGAAGCATTCAGACTCGAGATATAATATCCCCATTCTGAATAGACATCAAAGAATTTGAGTTGAAAATCATAGCAACAGCTAAGTTGTCAACTTGGACCTGAACCTTGCGCCACCCGTTCCTCCATGCTTCCTACAAACCAGTGTAAATACCCCAAAGTTCAGCTCTAAAAGCATTACAATGGCCCAGCTTGACCGAAAATCCTCCCAACCAAACTCCATTCTGACTGCAAAAGACACCTCCTGCAGTAGCTGAAAGAGAATTTCTGCGAAAAGCTCTGTTAGTATTCAGAACCATAAAACCATCAGGCGGTCTAGTCTAGCTGATAAGGGCCTCTCTGTACACTGCATTCACCTCCCCAACTTTAGCAAGAGTATCAAAGGCTGCCACACAAGCATGAACTGCATGGAGGATGATTTTAGGCTTCGAGAAACCATCTACCCGAGAGTTATTAAAAACCAAATTGTTGCGCTATTTCCAAATATGCCAACAGGTAAACCCAAAGAGCATCTTCCAATCAAGATTTTCCCTGGCTGTAAAACCATTCCGCAAATTACGAAACATCAAATCTTTGAAGTTCAGATCAAAGAACCTGGTGTTATCCGAGGAGGGCAGGAACTTCAACCATAAGGCCTTGGCTACCAGACAATCCCGTAACACATGAGAGATGGTTTACAGGGCAGCTTGGGTCATCTGTTAAATGTCGTCTATTTCAATCATAATTCGTGAGAAGTTTATTGTGCATGCAAAGCCAAATAAATGCCCGAATACGCTGAGGGCCTCGCCACCACCATACCATATCCCAATAACCATGAGCATTGCTAGAACTCAGGTCCAAAAGGGCCAAATAAGCCAAAGCCAAAGAAAATTGACCATTAGCAGCAAGATTCCATATCTGAATGTCATCCTTCATCTCATCTCTAGGGAGACAACATAGATTTAAATCATCCAAAACTTCCTTGGGTACAAAATCAGACAATAATCTGAAATTCTAGGAATCCTCACTCAAAGCATCTTTCACATGCCACTCATGAGAAATACTCGGTATAGGTCGTGTGATTTGATTGATCAAAGGTTCAGTGCCTAACCAATTATCAAACCAAAAAGAAACACGCCTACCATTACCAATACTCCAGCTGGAATTTCCCGAAATAAAGAGCCACGTGCGATTCATAGCACGCCAAATAGAAGAACATTGAGAACGAAATCTGGAAGGGAAATAATCAACATTGTTCGAACAATATTTTTCCTCTCAAAACATGCACTCAAAGAACTTGAGATTCAATGACAAATCTCCAAGTTAATTTGGCTAGGAAGGCCTGATTCAGAACCTTTAAATTCTTCAAGCCTAAACCCCCACTCTCCTTAGGTCGGCACACTGTATCCCAACAAACCAGATGCATAGTTCTCTCACTACCATCAGCTTCCCAAATAAAATTTCTGTACATAGAGTTAATTTTGTCATAGACATTAGCTAGAATGAACGCCACTTGCATAACATAAGCTGGAAGAGCCATGAGGACCGAGTTAACTAGTGTAATTCTTCCCGCAAAGGAGGGTGTTCTAGCCATCCAAGAACTGAGTTTTTTCTGCACTTTTTCCTCCAAGTAAGTATAATAAATACGCCCATTATGACCATGTAGAACATGTATCCCCAGATATAAACCCAAGTCATCAGAAAAGTAAAACCTGAAATCCTCTTAATAGCTTCAACCGTGTGCCTGTTAATATTTTTTGAAACACAAAAGAAGGTTTTGGAATTGTTAATCTTCATCCCGGAGCAATCACAAAACTCTTGTAAAACCCCCAAAATTCTATCAATCTACTTCTCTACCGTTTCTGCAAAAATAATGAGATCATCTGCGAAGAAAAGATGGGTCAGCGGGCATCCTTGCCTTCCCATTTTTATAGGATTCCAAACACCATTCTCCACTGCTTGCTTAATACCCTGAGTAAGTTTTTCCATGCAAACAACAAAAATGTAAAGAGACAAAGGATCTCCCTGACGAACTCCTCTAGAAGGTTTGAAGCTATCAAATAACTGATTATTAAAAAGGATTTTTGTCGAGCTAGCTTCCCAACATTTAAACAAAATAGAAATGAGAGCATGAGGGAAACCTATGTCAATCAAAGTATCCTTAATAAAGCTCCATCTGAGTCTATCATAGGCTTTTTCAAAGTCTATTTTTATCATGACCCAACCCTTGTTTCCTTGCTTTGTGCGCATGGAGTGGGCTATCTCTTGCACAACAACAACATTATCAGTAATTTCCCTACCAGGGATGAAACTGGCTTGCATGTTATCCACCAAAAGACTTAAGGCGGGTTTGATCCTATTCGTAACAACCTTCATAAGAATTTTATACGCCACAGGGAGGAGAGTAATGGGTCTGAAATCTGCAAAAATAATTGGGCCCCTCTTCTTCAGAATCAGAGTAATAACACCCCTACACAAATTTCCATCAATATCTTTCCCATCAAAACAATCCTGCACAAAATTGATAACTGAGTTCTTCACAATCTCCCAACAGTTCTGAAAGAAAGCCGCAACAAGGCCATGCTTTGGACGGCTTCATTTCAAAAAGAGCTCTTTTGACCTCCTCCACTTCTACCCGACATAATAAAGAATCCAAGAAGTCAGGAGAAAGAGGCGAAAACTTACCCGAAATCAAATAGTTTGGATCTTATTAACAAAAAGATATGACTTTGTACAAAAAAGATTTGTCTAAGACATTGCTTCTTTTTGTCCAAGTTGCTTTTCTTTTTGTCTAACACCTTTTTTTCTAAATATAAGTGAAAATTCAAGACATGATGAAACATGATAGGGCATGGTGGGTATAAGGTCGATTGGATTTTTCTACCATCCCTATAAAGTACCATTATCATTTCACTTTGGAAGGAATTCTTGCAGGCAAAAGAAAAATTGAAAAGTTCCAATTTCGCCTAATAAGTTGTGTATTCTTGGTAGAAATGGATTTTTGGACATTACCACAAATGCTAACCTTTCAAAGCAAATAAGTTCCCAATCAACAACTCCTCAGAGGGGTTGAATAGTTTTCAAATTTTGACTTTGATGTCAAACACAAATGGATAAAAAAAGTCTTCTTCTAGATCTTCTCTCAAGACGAGAATCAACCCTATTCACATTCTATATGATGAATCCATACTTGTCTCGTGCTCTTCCTGATGATAATCTCGTTCGACATCATCAATTTACCTTCAGAGTTGCATTATCTCTCAAAAGTTGAACTTCCATTCCAAAAACAAAGATCTGATACTTAAATACCAATCAATAGTAATTAGGAAAAATATGCAATTATCCCTTTTAACCTCCATGCAATGCACGTTGGTGAAGATATCGAAATGAGTGCGGAAATCAGAAACCAATTCAAAATTCCTCCATAGATTGACCAAAACATGGAAGACGATGTCCCAATGAGAACAACTTCCTCTTGACTGAGCCACGAGAATTCAAAATGAAATTGCCAAGTTCGAGAATACAAGCCAAGCATTCCCCCAAATTTGCATAGGGACGATTATTTTCATGGCCGGCCCTAATATTTTGGGAGCCTTATGCTAACTTCAAACATAGGGCCCTATGAATATTAAGTTCATATTTGATAGATATTTAAATCAGATTTTTAACAGATTTTGATAAAAGTTGATGGAATGTGTGATTGAAAACTTGTGGGGTATATAAAATGTGTGGTTAAAATTAATTGTCGATTTTGACTTAAAAAATTATTAAATACAATTAAAAAATATTAAACATAATTAGGATAATTGGAAGACAAAATACAAGATTTAAACTTCAGTACTGTTGCGTTTTCTCTATCGCAAATGTACAATATCATAACAAGTAGTAAAGTGGACCTTTGACTCCGAATATCGTTCCCACGAGGACTAAACTTTCAGTACTTAATATGTTCTTCCTACTACTACTTGACAGAAATAACAAATAAAAAACGATGAGTGTTGTGAGAATAAATTTTTATTATTATTATTATTTTGAAAGAAACCAATCTAAGTAAATTATGAGCGAGTCATCCGTGGACGAGCAGCTCCTATAACATCTCCAAAAAGAAGAAGACTTGCGCTTGATGGGGGACCATCGTACCAAATGAAACGATCTATCTGATCAAAAGCCAAGTTGGCCATATGATCAGCAATAGCATTAGCTTCCCTGTAAACATGAAGAATTTGAACTTGCCAATCTTGATGAAGAAGCATTTAGACCCGAGATATAATATCCCCATTCTGAATAGACATCAAAGAACTTGAGTTGAAAATCAAACCGACAGCTGACCTGAACCTTGAGCCACCCGTTGCTCCATGCTTCCTGCAAACCAGTGTAAATACCCCAAAGTTTAGCACTAAAAGCATTACAATGGCCCAGGTTGACCAAAAATCCTCCCAACCAAACTCCATTCTGACTACGAAAGACACCTCCTGCAGTAGCTGAAAGAGAATTTCTGCGAAAAGCTCTATTAGTATTCAGAACCACAAAACCATCAGGCGGTCTAGTCTAGCTGATAAGGGACTCTCTGCGCACTACGTTCACCTCCCCAACTGCAGCAAGAGTATCAAAGGCTGCCACACAAGCATGAACTGCATGGAGGATGATTTTAGGCTTCGAGAAACCATCTACCCGAGAGTTATTAAAAACCAAATTGTTGCGCCATTTCCAAATATGCCAACAGGTAAACCCAAAGAGCATCTTCCAATCAAGATTTTCCCTGGGTGTAAAACCATTCCGCAAATTACGAAACATCCAATTTTTAAAGTTCAGATCAAAGAACCTGGTATTATCCGAGGAGAGCAGGAACTTCAACCATAAGGCCTTGGCTACCAGACAATCCCGTAACACATGAGAGATGGTTTACAGGGCAGCTTGGGTCATCTGTTAAATGTCGTCTATTGCGATCATAATTCGCGAGAAGTTTATTGTGCATGCAAAGCCAAAGAAATGCCAGGATACGCTGAGGGCTTCGCTATTGTCAGACCAGATCCCAATAACCATGAGCATTGCTAGAACCCAGGTCCAAAAGGGCCAAATAAGCCAAAGCCAAAGAAAATTGACCATTACCAGCAAGATTCCATATCCGAATGTCATCCTCCAGCTCATCTCTAGGGAGACAACATAGATTTAAATCATCCAAAACTTCCTCGGGTAAAAAATCAGACAATAATCTGAAATTCTAGGTATCCTCACTCAAAGCATCTTTCACATGCCACTCATGAGAAATACTCGGTATAGGCCGTGTGATTTGATTGATCAAAGGTTTAGTGCCTAACCAATTATCAAACCAAAAAGAAACACACCTACTATTACCAATACTCCAGCTGGAATTTCCTGAAATAAAGGGCCACGTACAATTCATAGCACGCCAAATAGAAGAACATTGAGAACGAAATTTGGAAGGGAAATAATCAACATTGTTCGAACAATATTTTCCTCTCAAAACATGCATCCAAAGAACTTGAGATTCAGTGACAAATCTCCAAGTTAATTTGGCTAGGAAGGCCTGATTCAGAACCTTTAAATTGTTCAATCCTAAACCCCCACTCTCCTTAGGCCGGCGCATCGTATCCCAACAAACCAGATGCATAGTTCTCTCATTACCATCAGCTTCCCAAATAAAATTTCTGCACATAGAGTTAATTTTGTCACAGACATTAGCTGGAATGACCGCCACTTGCATAACATAAGCTGGAAGAGCCATGAGGATCGAGTTAACTAGTGTAACTCTTCCCGCAAAGGAGAGTGTTCTAGCCTTCCAAGAACTAAGTTTTTTCTGCACTTTTTCCTCCAAGTAAGTATAATAAATACGCCCATTACGACAATGTAGAACAGGTATCCCCAGATATAAACCCAAGTCATCAGAAAAAGTAAAACCCGAAATCCTCTTAATAACCTCAACCTGTGCCTGTTAACATTTTTTGAAACACAAAAGGAGGTTTTGGAATTATTAATCTTCATCCCGGAGCAATCACAAAACTCTTGTAAAACTCCCAAAATTCTATCAATCTGCTTCTTACCGCTTCTGCAAAAATAATGAGATCATCTGCGAAGAAAAGATGGGTTAGCGGGCCTCCTTGTCTTCCATTTTTATAGGATTCCAAATACCATTCTCCACCACTTGCTTAATACCCTGAGTAAGTTTTTCCATGCAAAGAACAAAAATGTAAGGAGACAAAGGATCTCCCTAACGAACTCCTCTAGAAGGTTTGAAGTTATCGGATAACTGATTATTAAAAAGGATTTTTGTCGAGCTAGCTTCCCAACATTTAAACAAAATAGAAATGGGAGCATGGTGGAAACCTATGTCAATCAAAGTATCCTTAATAAAGCTCCACCTGAGTCTATCATAGGCTTTTTCAAAGTCTATTTTGATCATGACCCAACCCTTCTTTCCTTGCTTTGTGCGCATGGAGTGGGCTACCTCTTGCACAACAACAACATTGTCAGTAATTTCCCTACCAGGGATGAAACTAGCTTGCGTGTTATCCACCAAAAGACTTAAGGCAGGTTTGATCCTGTTTGTAACAACCTTCATAAGAATTTTATACACCACAGAGAGGAGAGTAATGGGTCTGAAATCTGCAAAAATAATTGGGCTCCTCTTCTTCGGAATCAGAGTAATAACCCCTACACAAATCTTCATCAATATCTTTCCCATCAAAACAGTCCAGCACAAAGCTGATAACTGAGTTCTTCACAATCTCCCAGCAGTTCTGAAAGAAAGCCGCAACAAGGCCATCATGCCCAGGGGCTTTGAACGGCTTCATTTCAAAAAGAGCTCTTTTGACATCCTCCACTTCTACCCGAGATAATAAAGAATCCAAGAAGTCAGGAGAAAGAGGCGAAAACTTACCCGAAATCGAATAGTTTGGATCTTATTAACCAAAAAGATATGACTGTGTACAAAAGAGATTTGTCTAAGCCATTGCTTCTTTTTGTCCAAGTTGCTTTTCTTTTTGTCTAACTCCTTTTTTTTTTTTTAATATAAGTGAAAATTCAAGACATGATGAAACATGATGGGGCATGGTGGGTATAAGGTCGATTGGATTTTTCTGCCATCCTTATAAAGCACCATTATCATTTCACTTTGGAAGGAATTCTTGTAGTCAAAAGAGAAATTGAAAAGCTCCAATTTCGCCTAATCAGTTGGTATTCTTGGTAGAAATGGATTTTTCGACATTACCACAAATGCTAAACTTACAAAGCAAATAAGTTCCCAATCAACAACTCCTCAGAGGGGTTGAATAGTTTTCAAATTTTGACTTTGATGTCAAACACAAATGGATAAAAAAATCTTCTTCTATATCTTCTCTCAAGACGAGAATCAACCTTATTCACATTCTATATGATGAATCCATACTTGTCTCGTGCTCTTCCTGATGATAATCTCTTTCGACATTATCAATTTACCTTCAGAGCTTCATTCTCTCTCAAAAGTCGAACTCTCTATTCCAAAAACAAAGATCTGATACTTAAATACCAATCAATGGTAATTAGGAAGAATATGCAATTATCCCTTTTAACCTCCATGCAATGCACGTTGGTGAAGATATCGAAATGAGTGCGGACATCAAAAACCAATTCAAAATTCCACCACAGATTGACCAAACATGGAAGACGATGTCCCAATGAGAACAACTTCCTCTTGACTGGGCCACAAGAATTCAAAATGAAATTGCCAAGTTCGAGAATACAAGCCAATCATTCCTCCAAATTTGCATAGGGATGATTATTTTCATGGCCGGCCCTAATATTTTGGGAGCTTTATGCTAACTTCAAACATGGGGCCCTATGAATATTAAGCTCATATTTGATAGATATTTAAATCAGATTTTTAGCAGATTTTGATAAAAGTTGATGGAATGTGTGATTGAAAACTTGTGAGATATATAAAATGTGTGGTTAAAATTAATTGTCGACTTTAACTTAAAAAATTATTAAATACAATTAAAAAATATTAAACATAATTAGGATAATTGGAAGACAAAATACAAGATTTAAACTTTAGTACTGTTGCGTTTTTTCTATCGCAAGTGTTCGATATCGTAACAAGTAGTAAAGTGGGCCTTTGAGTCCAGATATCGTTCCCACGAGGACTAAACTTTTAGTCCTAAATATGTTCTTCCTACTACTACTTGACAGAAATAGCAAATAAAAAACGATGAGTGTTGTGAGAATCAATTTTCCTGACTCAACTAAATACCTAAGACAATGGAAACGCAAGTAATGGAAATNAGTTGGTATTCTTGGTAGAAATGGATTTTTCGACATTACCACAAATGCTAAACTTACAAAGCAAATAAGTTCCCAATCAACAACTCCTCAGAGGGGTTGAATAGTTTTCAAATTTTGACTTTGATGTCAAACACAAATGGATAAAAAAATCTTCTTCTATATCTTCTCTCAAGACGAGAATCAACCTTATTCACATTCTATATGATGAATCCATACTTGTCTCGTGCTCTTCCTGATGATAATCTCTTTCGACATTATCAATTTACCTTCAGAGCTTCATTCTCTCTCAAAAGTCGAACTCTCTATTCCAAAAACAAAGATCTGATACTTAAATACCAATCAATGGTAATTAGGAAGAATATGCAATTATCCCTTTTAACCTCCATGCAATGCACGTTGGTGAAGATATCGAAATGAGTGCGGACATCAAAAACCAATTCAAAATTCCACCACAGATTGACCAAACATGGAAGACGATGTCCCAATGAGAACAACTTCCTCTTGACTGGGCCACAAGAATTCAAAATGAAATTGCCAAGTTCGAGAATACAAGCCAATCATTCCTCCAAATTTGCATAGGGATGATTATTTTCATGGCCGGCCCTAATATTTTGGGAGCTTTATGCTAACTTCAAACATGGGGCCCTATGAATATTAAGCTCATATTTGATAGATATTTAAATCAGATTTTTAGCAGATTTTGATAAAAGTTGATGGAATGTGTGATTGAAAACTTGTGAGATATATAAAATGTGTGGTTAAAATTAATTGTCGACTTTAACTTAAAAAATTATTAAATACAATTAAAAAATATTAAACATAATTAGGATAATTGGAAGACAAAATACAAGATTTAAACTTTAGTACTGTTGCGTTTTTTCTATCGCAAGTGTTCGATATCGTAACAAGTAGTAAAGTGGGCCTTTGAGTCCAGATATCGTTCCCACGAGGACTAAACTTTTAGTCCTAAATATGTTCTTCCTACTACTACTTGACAGAAATAGCAAATAAAAAACGATGAGTGTTGTGAGAATAGATTTTCCTAAATCAACTAAATGCCTAAAACTATGGAAACGAAAGCAATGAGAATTATGATGAATGACAAACACAAATGATTGAAGTTTCACATATATAGAATGTATTAGGGCAAAACAACTTCACTTATTGATCACCTTAGTTCCAAACTCAAGATTCTAGCATGATGTAGTGTTCGGTTGAATTCTCCTACTGTATTTAACTTACCCCTCTCGAGTTCTCATTGAGTATATTCTACTAATTCAATTTCATATCTCTATGCGAATTACCCTTAATTAAACCAGTTATGTCACTAGGAATTCATATAACGACCGCAACACTTAGTATATGTATCTCTACAAGTTATACCTTGTTATCGAATTTTATTACACGTTCTAAGTCTCGAATTCACCTCTCGATTCTTAAGAAACTCAATAGATCATTAAATTAGTGGCCAGATAATTTAAAGCATTGCATTCATAACAAAATCAACACATGGAAGAATAAAAACTTAGAAATTCTTGAATCCAACAACTAAGGGCCTCAATAAGTTACATTGTTTGCTCTAATAGAAAATTTAGCTACTCATAATCAAAACAAAGAAATAAATAACAAAATTCGAATAAATCACTGAATTTAAATGATGCAAAATTTGAAAAAGGATTAGCTCTTGCACCAAGATCTCTTTCCATTTCCAAACCCTTGATTTCGCTTGAATCTTTGATGTAATTCTTCGCGTGAAATCGTCTTCAAACTTGTATTTTTCTCTTTATTTTGCAAGGTATGGAACCCTTATTTCGTGCCTTCCCCCGTCTATTTATAATTTCTCACATTCATAGTCAAGTTGGAGACTCATTCATGGGCTTTTCGTAGCCCCAAAAAACAAAACCTAAATTTTACGGTGTAGCGCCTAAGAGCGAGAAGGCAGCGCCTAGGCATTGCGAAGTCTTCTCAAGCAGCGCTGGGTGCTGCTAAGGCAATGCCTAAGCACTGCAATTCTGTTGATCTCCTGCTAGTGCAGCGTGTGGCAGCGCAAAGACAGTGCCTAGGCGCTGCATCTCTGGTCTTTTTTTCTTCTTCCATTTCTTCATATCCCTTTTTTCATCATTTCATCATTCTTTCAATCAAAACACTAGCAAACACATTAAATTCGTTCTATAATTAACAAATGAAGCAACCAAATGAAGTTAGAATGATACGAAACTCGTGTGTAAAGTACACTCATCAAGTACAAACTTGAACACTGAGCAGCCCACCAACTTTTTGCATCCATAATGTCCCTATTCAATCAAAATCACATAAAACTAAAGTGAAGCATTTGTATCACAATAATATGCCCATGCTCTAACCCTTAAAATCTTTCACAGTGGATTCTTAAAATCTTCTTCAAAAGGTGAACATACATTTTTTCCACTATCAATTCTAATAGAATTTGAACCCGCGATGATCCAATCTACAAATAAAATTTATAATAATTAACTAAAAAGGTAATTATTGATGTGCTATCATCTATTAAATAATTGGAATAAAAAATCAAGAACCCGAAAGTATATATAATAAAATATTAAGGGTCTGTTTGATTTGTCCAACTTTCCATGGAATTGGAAATGGAATTCCATTTTTGTCCAAAAATTAGTGTTTGATTGGCTGGATTTTCTAGGCAATGGATTTTCTTACTTTTGTCCACACGCATACAAATTCAATGATTTTGTGGAATTTGGGTTCCCGCCAATTTGGTGGGAATTCATTTTCCACTTTTTTTTTTTTTGTGGAAATGACACCAAATTTTATAACCAATTGTAAAAAATTTTATTTTAATGGTCAATTTTCATTTAAAACAAAATCAAACGAACACTAAATTTTGATTAAAAAATGATTTTCTAGAATTTTTTTTTGTTTACTTTTTGGCAACGGAAACAAATTTTATAACCAATTGTGAAAAAAATTATCAATTTAATGGACAATTTCCATGTAAAATAAAGTCAAACGAACACGAAGAGATCCAAAATTTTAAAATTTTTCGGGTGGAAAATTATACTAATCAAACACACTTAATTAACAATTCCCTGAAAAACAAGTTCTAGACAATTATTTTCTCTGGAATTCATTTTATTTCCATCTATTTTCCGCAATTGCAATCAAACGGACCATAAAAGTTGAATACTACTCAATAATAATGTATAATATCAAAACTGAATCAACTAATCAATGTTGATGTACAAACGGCAAACTTAAAAGCAGTTTTCAAACAACTTATGTAATTTAATGACTTAAAAAATACTAAAAAATATAGTGAATTATTTGTTATACTCAAAGTGGGAATGACTGCACGTCTATTATCTTCCTCAACGTCTCAAGACTCTCGACAAATAATCTGAATTTGATAAAGGCGGCACAATTAATTTTTTTGGGTAAAAATTCTGAATTTTTTCATGCAAAGTTTCCATAAAGTTTCTATAGAGTTTTCGAATTTTATTTTAAAAAGGGAAACTTTCTTGGAGTTTGTGAAACGTTTTCTTTTCTAAACGCTTTGGAAACGGAATACTTGTGTCTAGAAAGTTTCCGTGCATTAGTATGCATTATAGTTGCCTTTGTTAATATTCTTTGCATCAAAGCGTTCATTCTACTGACAAATGATCCGATTCGAGTGATCAATAGTAGCAAGAGTTCAAGACATTTATTGTGACCATTTGCTTATAGTTTTTGCGGGCTACAAATACCTCAATTATGGCTATAGCCCTTTAGTCAATGAAATTCACTGTGACATGGGAGTTATTCAAAGCAGTTACATAACATTATTCTCTTAACGTAGGTGATTCAGATGTCTCAAGTCTCATTCAACAAGTGAATAGAGTCTGTTCGATTTAGATTTTATGAAAAGTGATTTTTTTGAAAAATGTTATGAATCTACGTACAAAAGTGAAAAAATGAATAATTTAAAATGAGTTTGGAAAAAATAATTTTAAAATATTTATTAATTTAGGGTGAGATTTTTATTTTATTTTATTTTAGAGAGAATTTTAGCAGAATTTGGAAGCATTGATCACATCAACATCAGAGCTATTCCAAAAGGAGAAAAAAATCCTCTTTGAGAAAGTGACAGTTATCAACCTCATTTTACTGCGGCGGGCCAGATGTCTAAGCATCACCGAAAATATTCGTATCAACAACTGGATATTCCCATTTCCAACACCTTCATTTGATATGCCCACAGTATTCGGATCAACAATGAATATTCCCATTCCCAAACATACTCATCTAATATTTAGCACATAAAAAGTTAAAACGGGTGCACATACACACTTCAGGAACCATGTTTTGAAATTCTTTTTGTTTCTTGAAAAAGAGGGCTTCTTTAAAGCTACGATTTAACGTTTGATTCAATCAGAGAAATGGGTTTCAATAATTTTTGCACTGGGTTGGCATATTTTCTTGTGGGCTTAATCTTGATTGCTTTTGGGTTGTGTGAAGGTGGATTGACCAGTGGTTATGTGAGAAGGAATGATTTGAGTCTTGATATGCCTTTAGATAGTGATGTTTTTAGAGTTCCTCCTGGTTATAATGCTCCCCAGCAGGTTAGTTAGTATGGTCGTTTTTCATTCTTGCTCTTCAATCAAGATTGTTCTGTTTTCTCTGAATCTTATTTGTTCATGTTTGGTCGGGATGATCAGAGAGCGGGATACTATAAAGAAGAAAACAAAAACAAAGTTATTGTCGGACATTGTCTTGGTAGTGTTACTTTAGATAAACCCCGTGATCTTCTATTTGGGGTTGCCAAAACAGTGGGCTGTTTTCTCTTTAACTGCGAAAATAAAGAAAGCTAATAGAAGAGGTTGATGTTTTTAACTTTTCCTTTTTTGTTGGTTGAATTCAGTAGAGAAGGGATCATTTTCTTTGCTCAATGAATTTTTCAGAAAACAAAAGAAGTCCCAAATTGGATACATCTATTAGGGATTAGTCTTACCCCGGAAGGTAAGGTGTCTGTTTCCCTGGTCACACTTAGTTGATTAATTGAAAGTAAACAGGAATAGTGGAGTATATTGCAGTAGTAGTAATATTTGATTCTTGATGTAATTTCAGTTTCGAATTTAAGAATAAACAGGAATAAAAGAAGCTATATTTTAACTAAACCGGCTTTGTAATATTTAGAAATTTCTGATGCTTATCCATTACCAAGGGCCGTATGGCCTGTGCTACGACCCTATTGCTAACCTGTGAAGGCATGCCCCTGGCGTGCTCATTTTGACTGAATAGGAGATTTGCTTGTTAGAGGGAGCCGAGGGTATTACTTCCTTTTCTGGCTCCGGTATGGGTCTGTTACAAGTCATTGGGTAGAATTCGCAGTAGCCATTTCCCAGTTGGCTGAGTCCACGTAACCAGCCTTACCCTCCCTAGACTGGAAATTTCTCGGTATATTTTAAATTTATTCCCTATAGGGACTAAACTTTAGGCCTTTTACGTATGTCCTAGTTCTTTTGTATTCGTAACTCTAGAATAATCTTATAGCACATAAGCTTGTGCAAAACGGACTTATTTAGGACATTGTATGAGGAATTATAATCAGTTCAGGTTTAGTGAATAACGAATTTAAAAATGAACTGAAAAAAGGTTGTAATTTAAACTGTATGCTGTCTCTTTTATGCTGCTTGTCTCAGACTAGGCATACAATTTAAGGTAGTGTGGCTTTTGAAGGTTCATTTAACACAAGGAGATCATGAAGGGAGAGCTGTGATTGTCTCTTGGATCACACCGGATGAACCTGGTTCAAATGCAGTCGTCTACTGGGCTGCAAATAGAAAGCTGAAGAAAAGTGTCAATGGCATTGTTCTTACCTACAAGTACTACAATTATACCTCTGGTTACATTCATCACTGCACGATCAAGAATTTGAAGGTGTGTATGTCATGCTAATTGCTAAATGGACTTGTTTTATTTTTACATATAAGTAAAATAAGTGAATTTTTAAATAAATAATATTTTATTGGTCAAAGTTTGAAATAAACAAGTAACTTATTTTGACAGAAGATAAGAGTTGCTGTCAGTTTAATTTAACTTTTTTTAAGCTTAGCCCAAAAGCAAACATGTTATTTGGTATAGATTGCATTTTTCTTGCTTAAGTTGTAGTTTTTTAGCTTTCCACGAATGAATTGAATTATCAACAGCTATAGTGTTCTTAAAACTGCAGTATGATACGAAATACTACTATGCAGTAGGATCTGGAAATACGACGCGGCAGTTTTGGTTCACAACTCCACCTAAACCTGGCCCCGATACTCCTTATACATTTGGCCTTATAGGTATATCTTTATGATCCATTTCAACTTGCAAGTTTTGTGTTGTTAGCCAAGGAAAACAGAGAACAAGGGAAGCATAATTCATGCTAAAAGAGGCGATGAAAGTAAAGAAAAAAACTTAAGTTGGAAATGTGGAGTGAAAAATCAATTTTGTTGTAAACTCACTCTGTTTAGCATTATGAACAGGGGATCTTGGTCAGACTCACGATTCCAATAGGACACTTACTCATTACGAGATGAACCCTGTGAAGGGACAGACATTGCTGTTTGTTGGAGATCTCTCATATGCAGATGGATATCCGTTTCATGATAACACCAGATGGGATACATGGGGGAGGTTCATCGAGAGAAATGCTGGCTATCAACCGTGGATTTGGACTGCTGGGAATCATGAACTTGATTTTGTTCCTCAAATTGTATGTTTCCCATTTACTCTCGTCTCTTCTGTTGAAAAACTCCCATTTGACTTTTGATTCCTTAGAACAAAATACTCCTAATTGGACTGGCAAAAGCTATTGATTTTATCATATGGAATACAATTCAACATCATAAGTTGTGTAACTGTGCTAAATTTTTACCATGTAGAAATCCACTTTGTTCATGTTGATTATTTTATTTCTGAACATCAAGTTTATACTGACCTGCATAAATTCTGCAAATATTGCAAACGTAATGACAAAAGCATTTTGTTGCAGGGTGAAACCAAACCCTTCAAGCCTTACACACACCGATTTTTTGTACCATACCGAGCCTCAAAGAGTACGTCTCCCCTCTGGTATTCAGTCAAGAGAGGTTCGGCATACATCATTGTAATGTCTTCTTATTCGGCTTATGGTAAGCGTTCATGGTTTTCTCATCAATTTAATTCAATAGAGCGGATGAAGAACTTCATGACTACTGCCGTAATTTGATTGATTTATTTATTCCCTTTTAACATAAGAAGAAACTCACCTTTAGAGGAAAATCAACACATGGTTCCTTTATACCTTTCTTACCTTTCAGGATGAATTGGATGAACTCGGGAAAAAAAAAAAATAATGGCATTGAAATTGATTGCATGCAAAAGTTGCTTAGATGCTGGCTGCAGCATGCTGAGAACGATGAACTGAATATAAATCTGACAGAAATGAAATACTGAAGGGAATAGGAGAACTTTTACAACTTTCTTTCTAAAATTAAAAAGAAAAATTCTATTTATAAGGTTACGAGTACCTGTAAAAGGAAAGATTCTATACTAACTACACAATGAAACTATTAAGCAAATAATTATGGGAATTCTGTATAATATCACAATATCGCGGCGACCTGTAAATATTACCAAATCTTTAACACAACATATTTCATTACCAGCTTGAATCATCGTTTGGTCTCTTTGCAGGGAAGTACACTCCTCAGTACAAATGGTTGACCAGTGAGCTGCCAAAAGTAAACCGGACGGAGACACCATGGCTCATTGTACTCATGCATTCTCCAATGTATAGTAGTTATGTTCATCACTTCATGGAAGGGGAAACCATGCGAGTGATGTATGAGTCATGGTTTGTGGAGTTCAAAGTTGATGTAGTCTTTGCAGGTCATGTTCATGCCTACGAACGATCTGTAAGTATTTTTGTTTTGAACTGCATTTATTAATTTCCATAGAAAGCTCTTTAGTCTGGAAAGGAACAATTGATTTTGACAGATTCTTGTATCAAATGATACAATGGCTGAATTATATGTCTAGGATTATGCTTTTTAGCTTTATTTATATGTTTCTATTTTCACTGCCCTTTCAGATCTTTCTATGCTTCACTGAATTTGATTTCAGTACAAAACCTTGAAACAGCTTTGATTTAAGAATAACCACTTTTACAGACAAGCTAAAGTGATATGGTCAAATTCTAGTGCCAGTTCGATATAGAGTGCTGGAGTGGACGCTGCAATAACAGAATTTTAGCTTCATTTTCTTCTTTAACAATGTATGAGTACTGTACTGTACCAAACAAGCAACTAATGTACACTATTACATATTCGTTTCACAGGAACGTGTTTCCAACATTGCGTACAATATTGTTAATGGCTTGTGCAGTCCTGTAAGGGATCACTCTGCTCCAGTATATATTACCATCGGAGATGGAGGAAATCAAGAAGGATTAGCAACCGAGTATGTTATGATACATGCTGTTTCTTGAGATTCGAAAGTTTATTTTTGCCTATATGTGTTTAAAAGTTTATTTTTGCCTATATATGTGTAGGATGACGCAGCCACAACCAAGTTACTCTGCTTATCGGGAAGCCAGCTTTGGACATGGCACATTTGATATTAAGAACCGCACTCATGCCCATTTCAGTTGGCATCGTAATCAAGATGGAATTTCCGTGGAAGCTGACTCTCTTTTGTTTCACAATAGGTACTGGAAATCGATGGACGAACCATCTGTAGCTGTATCGTGATATCAGAATGGCTCTTGTGAATTTTATGAACTGTGAGATTAAAATTTTCGTGTATTCAGGAATCAGACATCTATAGTGCATAAGCAAATCTGTCATATATTGAGATATTGTTGACCAGCATAATCATTGACTAATGTTGTATAATTAATCACAAATAGTTTAATTAGAATTGATAATTGGTAGAATACTTTTATTTAATATAAACCCCACACACACACACAAGTTTAATCCTATTAGAGTAGAGAAAACGAAAATTATATACTCTTATTACTATATTAGGGATGAAGCTTGGTGTACAGGTAGGGGTTCACAGAACCAGAACCCCTACCGAACACACAGAAACATGGGTGGGTGGATATTTTTGGGGTGATTTTTTAATGGGGCGGGTCCCATGCGTGAGAGGCTCGACTGGCATTTTACAGGTTTGGCAGAGCAGCATAATTCCTATATTAGTTCCTATCTAAATAAGGAATACAAGATATAAATTATATATATATACAGAAATGATCTAATGAGTACCGGTGCTCATCTCATNGATGCATAAATATCATACATGTTCAATTTGATTAGTGATGTATCTCTCCACTAGTAACATGAGTCATTATATCAACTTACACCTTGTCTATATTTTTTCTTTTCATTTTTTTATATCCTTTACGATAGCTAGCGGAGCAGAATTCGCGTAGTTCCCGAACGAGTTTGGCTTCCAGCGGGTATGCCCCACATAAGCTATAAAGGCGAGTTTTACGTAACAAGGGCAAATTATTGCATCGTTTCATAAGATTGCCCTATGAATGCTCTACATAGTTCATAACTACTCCCTTATTACATGACGCCTATCTAGCCAACATTTAGATTCGACTCTACCCAAATTTTTTTGGTTCGCCCTAGCATTCCCCGCTCGTCCAACTAGTGTGAGCAATTTTTGAATATCAAATGCACCTCCCCAAAATGTAATTTTAATGTGATCGATTTCCCCTCTTTAAGGTTTTATTATTGCATAGCTCTTGAAAGGACATTGAGCATTTTCAGGAAAACCTTTTAAGCATATAACATGTATTGTTAAGGTAAAATCTACATTTTTAAGTACTTGCGCTTTTTCAGGATAAACCAAACATGCTCTCCCTAAAACTTGCAAGGTATGTTTGATATGTTGTATTAGATCAAATGTATATAATTAACCTAATAAACGACAAAATTGTATGAATTGGAAAGGTTGTTCTAGCTCTACCTCCAAATTTAACTTTGGGCAAATGCTAGCTTTCTAAACATCCGTTCTCTTCTCATCAATTAATTTTTGAAGCTTTACATAAAAGAATGTAGTTTCATCCTTCTAATTTCAAAAACTCGATCAAGATTCACAGCTCCTCGTCCAGACACTTTCGACAATGCTCGAGATTGTAGAGATACTCAACCATGTCTAGATTTATATTTTATTATCTCAACAAAAACAAATACGCATATTTAGTAAATATTACTAAATGTAAAAACAAAACATAAAAAAGAGTTCTGCATCTCTCCAAGGCTGGGGCGGAGGGATGATGATAAGTATATAAATAAATAAAAGCGAAAATGGTAAGAGAAACTTTATATCGATGGAGGAAATAACGATCAAATAAATTTTGAACTTATTTTTCATATTGTAGATTCTAGCATAATCCCATCTGCAAGTTATTAATTATTACAACCCATGTAAATTTAGAGCAGCTGAAGCAAAATCTGACTCCAACTGAGAGAAGAAATCCAAGATTATCTTACCATGATCGGTGATCCAAGTCATTGCAATGAAATCATGCATCCTCCACGAGTTGAGGCTTTAAACTAGGCAACCCTGCAGCTGAAATAGATGTTCATGTACCCCCAACCCAACATGAACAAACTTAGCATTATTTCCAATTAATTTAGAATAAACTACATGAACACCACTATATTGTGTTTGTGGGAGATTTAAAGCAACTCAATCAGTAGAATCAAACCACCTCCGAACCCCAACAAAAAGGAAAAAGGAAAAAAAAAGCCTTGATATCCTATAAGATAAAGAAAGAAAAATATCAAAACAACAGGAAAAATGAGAGCTCGTCCTCAAATCTGTTTTCACCAAAGGAGTAACAAATCTTGATACGTGACTTCTCATTTGAACTTGTTTCTTCCAGAAGCTTGAGATTCTGCTATTCACTACCCTTCCCAGCTCAATGCATCCCATAGGTAGTCAAGTGAACTGTTTATATAATGCAACTGAAGGTCGCGAGGAACACCCCCCTCTCCACAACAAATAACCACCATTTCTTTCTCTTGTACAAAGTTATACGTGTAAACAATTTGCACCCAAACAAGGACCAGTTGAAACCCGATATAATTAAAAAAGAAAATGGTAGAAATGCAGGTGCCAGGTGTTTTGAAGAATAGAAAAGAACTATAGATGGCATTGTATCCTCCGAAAAGCCTAATTGGACAATGCCACCTCAAGCCATCAATCACCACGTCTGCTACCATAAATGGTTTCAAAGGATTCACCAATCTACATCTCGAGGAAATCCTTCAAAGAGAAGAGCGGATTTCCATCCTACAATATGACATATGGTAAAAAGTAGTTAAGCATCATGTTAAACAGTAACAGCTAGAGAGACTACTTCCCAACTATTTGCCATCAAAGGTCCATCACATGTTCATGCTAATATGACTTTGCTTTATCCCTCGTTAAAAATAACAGCCATAAGAAATCATTTTAAAGTGCAAATAGGTTAAGTATATGATGACACTTCATCAGATTAATATATGATTTTCACTCTGGCAAGTACAGAAAGAAGATATAACAGAAAACAGCAGAGAGAATATCATAATGTCAAAGATTCAAGCAAGACTTGGGACTAGAAAATATATATATTTTTTTCCACTTCTTGGAATTGTGTTAAAAGGCAGTATACCCTTGTGTTTTGCAAATAACGAACCCCCTCTGGTCTTAGAATAGACAACTAACCCTTAAATAGTATTAAAACCAAAAGAATTTGCTCTCAACCACAATCCTAAGAGCATGTACGGTATGCAATACTGACAGTAGACACCACTAAATAGTACAACAAATAAGAGTTCAACATTATTCTTTAATATTGTTCGGTACTATTCAATTCACCTTACCAAACATGTCATAAGAAAATGACATGAATATAAACCAGCAGCTAAAATGCCAACTTGTGCAAACACAGCTAAAAGTGCATCTTACTCTTACTTCAAAACTCATGACAAAATCAACACTCAACAAGGATTCCAAGAAAAGATTATTCCACAACAGATTAACAGCAAATGTCAAACCTTGCCAAATTCTTGATTTAAGGATTGCCTGACAATTGTTGCCTGTTGTATTAGCCTTTCCACTGCTGAATATCTCGGCAGGTTAGCATGTGCTGCGACCATGATTCACATGATAAGAGAAAATGATTAACAATAAAGAGAAGTTTCAGAGACCACATTCAGCATCATGGTAATGAAGGGAGAATATGAGGAAAATAGGCAAATATTATCATCAATTATCAATTGTTACAATAATAAGAAACCAATACCAAGAATTTCCCCGTTTAAATTGTCAGAAACCCGCTGTCTGTACTCCAAGCTTAAAAGATGAAACATGGGTGATTTTTCTGGTTCCTCATAAGCTAGCAGAGACATGAAATCCTACAGGAAAAAAATTATTTGTCCATCATTTGATGAAAAAATAAACCTATTAAGGTAGAAAGCCCAAATTAGCCTTTGTAGGGATCAAATGAAAATTTTCAATATAATTTCACCAGAGAAGGAACATACTTCAATCTTTTCAACGTATTTCCGCATCTTCCCAAACGGAGTCAACTTCATTTGAGCGAATCCCAGAGCTTCTGTGCTGCCATGGTAAAAGAAATTTAAAAATTGAACTTCATTATGATTTCATTATTACCTACTCACCATTTCCCCGAGCAGATGAGTTCAGCAAAATGAAGGCTCAAAAGATCAAAATGTAAATCCTTATTATTTTCTAGCAAGTCGGGAGCAAATTCTTCAGTCAATTCAATGGCCTTCAATACATCCCCGTCTAGTGCAGAATGGAAAATTCCTGAAAGTAAATGGCAATATTGTTACCGTGCATTAAAAAAATATATATATATTAACAGTTAAATGAATAAAGAACTCTCTTGCACCAGTCTTACATAGCATGTAAAGAGCAGTGTGGTGAACAAAAAGTTCCACTATTCTAATATTGTCAAATTAAGGAAACAAGATATTGATTTAGAAGAAAACCCTACTGACAAGTATAGTAATTTTAACACAACAATGTTCACTCCCAATAAAAGAAATTTTTTTAAAAGTATCTTAAACATTATTAATTTAGTGTTTAATTATTGCGTTCCATCAATTGTTTACATCAAGTAATATTAAGTAGTCATCATGTTTACAAACAGTACAAAATTTCTGGCCTTTTATATAGCTTGACTGATAATCTATTCTCAGTATGTTTACCACACAAACAAAGCTTACAGTTATGATTAGAAAGAGATATTCAACATTTCAGCCACTTTTCAAGCTGTATAAAATATAGAATGCAATAACAATTTTGTTATAAAATAAAATAAAACGCACAAGTAAAAATAGTTCCATTATTTATCCTCAAGGAAAAATAGAATTCCTTTCCCATTTTCACTAACTCAGATTACAATTACATTTCATCCGGCACTTCCACGTGTACTTATTTATCTTTGGAACTGTCCAAATTATATCCTCTAGACATTTATCATCCAGGAAATTCTCCTTTCCAAGTTTCTGAATAGTATTAATGCATACTAGTCTAAAACACATTACCCTTGTTAACTAAGCCCCTATATGCCTCCATTTCTTAACTTATTTTTCTCCAAACTCATTTTCAACCATACATTTAATGGGATCCGTAACTTTCATCAACTTTTCAATCAAACATTTCCTCAACTTATATCAAAATTTACTAAAATTCTTATTTTTATCAAAAACAAACAAGG